GAGAGAGAGAGAGAGAGAGAGAGAGAGAGAGAGAGAGTAGTTCGATCGATAGGATGAGCAAAATCGAATGAATCTACCACTAGAACATGGAAATATACACTTCTTTTTTTTTTTTTTTTTGTGTGTGTGTGTGTGCGAAAACTTAGCAACTGCCGGGGGATTTTGCAAAGTTGGGCAGCGTCCGGTAGGGGTACATTGCAAAGATAGGATCCAACTGATGGTTGGGGTGCTTCGCAAAATGTTTTGTCATTGTCCTTCACGGCAGCGTAGCTGCGGCAGGTCCACTCGTTCTTGGAAAGCTCACAACAGATCTACGAGTACTCCAGTGGGTGGTGGACGAGAAGGCGGAGAAGGAGGAGGGGGGACGCCGGATAGATCAATCCGCATATTCGGGCGGTGCTAGTTGACATGGCTGAGGTGATGCAGACTCGAGAGGAGGAGAAGGTCCAAATGGATGAAGGCGAGAATAAAGTGCTGACGTGTTCGGGCAAATCTCGGCTGGTTTTTGCTTTTTATGTTACCACCCATGGCTTTGGGCATGCAACACGTGTAGCCGAGGTGGTGCAACACCTTGTTCAATCTGGGCATGAGGTTCATATTGTTACGGGTGTGCCAGAGCATGTGTTTGAAAGAGGGATAAGCGACTTGACGAACGTCCATATTCGCAAGCAAGTGATGGACTGTGGGGTAGTACAAGCCGATGCTCTTACAGTTGATCCTATTGCCTCTCTCGAACTGTACTGGAAAACTGCAATGGTACGTCGTAGTATCATCTTGGAGACCGAATCAGCATGGCTTCGTCTGGTTGGAGCGTCGCTTGTGGTCTCAGACGTTGTCCCGATTGCATGTGCTGCTGCAAGCAAAGCTGGTATTCCTGCAGTTTGTGTCAGCAATTTCAGTTGGGACTTTATCTATTCTGGGTGTCTTGTGGGAAGCAATATCCAGCATCAAGGCATCGTCTGGCAGATTGTAGAAGACTATTCGAAAGCACTTTTTCTCCTTCGGCTTCCAGGTTATTGCCCAACCCCCTCATTCCAGGATTTAATCGATGTGCCTTTGGTAGTTCGACCCAAAAAGAAAAGCAGATCAGAGGTACGCCAGAAGCTGGGAGTTTCCGAGGAAACAAAACTTTTGATGCTGAGTTTTGGTGGCCAGGATTTCTCCTGGTCTGTCAAGGCAGAATTCCTTCCCCCAGGCTGGAAGTGCTTCGTTGGTGGAAAAGGGTGCCTAGCTGAACTTCCGTCAAATTTCGTGCAACTGGAGCAGAATATATACACTCCAGATATTATAGGTGCTTCGGATTGTGTCCTTGGGAAGATTGGTTATGGGACAGTAAGCGAGTGCCTGGCCTGTCGTGTTCCTCTCATTTTTGTTCAACGAAATAACTTCAACGAGGAACCCTTCCTTCAGAAGCTGCTGGAGGACTTCAACTGTGGGTTGAAGATGCATAATGGGGACTTCTGTTGTGGAAAGTGGGGACCATACTTAGAGCAAGCTTATGGCATGAGACCGGACTACTGTGAAAGCTTGAAAGGTGGGGAGGTTGTTGCCAGCATTTTGGAAGATGCAGCAACGGGAAACATTGTAGGTCGCAAAAAGCGAACTGCTGTTGAGAGGTTGAGAGATGCCATAGCATTTGGATATTACATGCCTCGCATGCCGGAAGGAACAGATTCGAACGGAACCAGCTGGTGGTACTTGGAGCAGCAGCCGTCCTTTGAAAGCTATTGGTCTCCACTGAGTGCTTCCAATACCTTGCTGAATGCATCATCTGATGATGTTCTCCACAATGCTCATGCCCAGTCGCCAGAGATCAAAATGCTTGGCACTACTGCAGGGTTTCAAATCTTGAGGGGAAGTACACACAACTTGGATGACACAGATGCATTTCTGCGGTTGCTTTCACGAATGGATGTTGATGCCAACTTCTGTGCGTGCGGTGCAACCAGTGAACAAGAAGCGCAAGAGTGGCAGGCTGCATGCCAACTGTTCAGATGGGAGGATGATGTTTTTGTGACCAGGGCTCCTGGGAGGTTGGATGTCATGGGTGGGATTGCAGACTACTCAGGCAGCATGGTACTTCAGCTCCCTATCAAGGAGGCTTGCCATGTGGCAGTGCAGAGACATTCTTTGGCAAAACAACCTCAGCTTTGGAAGCATGCAGAAAAGGAACACAAGTTGATGGGCTTGAGACCATTCCTTCAGATTGTATCATTTGGTTCACAGAAATCGAACCGCTCTGCTACATTTTGCATGGACTTGACTGACTTCCTGGATGACAACGATGAGCCGATTGAATATGCTGCTGCGCAGAAGTACTTCGACCAGGATCCCGCACACAAGTGGGCAGGATATGTGGCAGGTGCTTTCCTTGTGTTGCTGCGAGAGATGGGCATTAGGTTTCACGGCGGAGTGAGCATATTGGTTTCTTCTGATGTCCCTGAAGGCAAAGGCGTGTCTTCATCTGCTGCCATTGAAGTCGCCACCATGACTGCTGTCGCTGCGGCACATGGTATTCTTATTCCTCCTCGGACATTAGCATTGCTTTGCCAAAAGGTTGAGAATCTTGTGGTGGGGGCTCCTTGTGGAGTGATGGATCAGATGGCATCCGCGTGCGGAGAGTGTGGGAAGCTGTTGGCAATGATTTGTCAGCCTGCAGAAGTTTTGGACCATGTGGAGATACCTGGTCACATTCGCTTTTGGGGAATCGACTCCGGTGTTAGACACAGTGTTGGCGGAGCAGATTATGGAACTGTTCGAGCAGCAGCATTTATGGGCCGGCAAATTATCGCCAATGCTGCCCGCCAAATTGCACTATCACTGGAGAAGGAAGGTGAAGTGCCGAAAGCTCACCGTGACTGCTTACATTCTTTCGGCGATGACCACCATACCAACCCTGTATTGCCCGCACATGCACTTCCTGACGATGGCATTCTTTCCAGCTTGAAGCTAAGAACCGCTTCAGCTGCTGCCGCTAGCTCCACTGCTGCTGATAAGGACCTTACTTATCTCTGCCGAGTCCCACCTCATCGGTTTAATGCAGTGTATGCTGCCATTCTTCCAGTTGAAATTGATGGACAGACATTCATTTCCAAATATGGAAGTCATGGTGACCCTGTAACTGTAATTGACCCAGACACAAAGCACCCTGTCCGAGCTGCAACAGCGCACCCTGTGTATGAAAACTTCCGTGTTCAAAGCTTTGCGGAATTACTCACAGCCAAACGGAGCGAGCGGCAGCTATCAGCCTTGGGAGAGCTTATGTTTCAGTCTCATTGCAGCTATTCCCTCTGCGGTCTGGGATCACAAGGAACTGATCAGATAGTGGCTATGGTGGAAGCCATGACGATGCGAGCAAATAGCAGCCGGGATAAGAGGCCCTCTCTGTTTGGTGCAAAGATTACTGGTGGAGGAAGCGGTGGCACAGTTTGTGTGCTGGGAACAGAAAGCAGTCAGGCTGACAAAGAAATCAGAGAGGTGCAACAGCATTACAGAAACATAACTGGGCACTTGCCATACATTTTCGAAGGATCATCCCCAGGAGCAGCGCAGTTTGGTTATCTACAAATCAAGCGGCAGTCGTGCATCAGCTGTTAATTTGTGACAGATGTCTCATTATCCCTTTTCTAAGGAAACAGACATCCATCTCTTGGCTAGCCCTAGAAAGATGTGAAGTGCTCTATGAGTTGGTGGTGGCATCGTAGGGAGACGAGTAGTCTGGGCAAGTGCGCACCAGCGGATGCCATCAGCAACTCTTGTACCGGTTTATTCCGAAAGAGCGAGCCATTAGCAACATTACATTGTGAGGATTCAGGATCTGTGCTGCTGTTTTTTCGTCTCCTGTTTCCCCTTTTTGTTAAGGTGGTATCACTGACAGAATTTTAGTGTTCTTGTGTAGATTACACAGTTGCCTTACTTAGCCGAAGCCAGGTAATAGCCCCGGTATCTCAAGGATTTCTCGACAAATTTCTCAATTTCTCAATATGATCTTGAATGGGACGCTGGGCCCGGTTCCTAGCACGTGCTGCTCCCCACGAATAGATTGGAGCACGTTCCCAAAAAAAAAAAAAAAAAAAAAGACATTGTCTACCTGATGGGATTTGTCCTCTTGACCACTTGATGCACAAGTTTGCAGTAAATTTGTATCATTCCACCAGAAAAAAATAGAAGAAAAAAAAGAAATCACTGAAGTTAGAGTACGTTTTTCTCTTAGCCCACACATGGCTGAGTGGAAAAAATGAAAAATGTGCCAACTCGACGCAGTGACTATTTTATGGTCTTAAATTTCATTTTGATTTTTTCCACTCGGCTTCGGCTAGGAAAACAATCAGTCGATTACCAAACTTGCGAAAACCTATAAGACACAACTTTTAAAAACAACTGCAGTTCTCATAAAAAACTGCCTATGATCTACCCAACCACAATCCAAACCTGGAAATAGAAGATTCTTACTAAAACCCCTTACTATTTACACCTCCCCTTCCACAAGCGAAAAAACGTTAAGTCCAAGCGTTTAGTCCTCGTACCAGACCTCAGCTGATCTCATACCCCCCAATGCTTGGTTACAGAGCAACACAAACTTCCCCAGTACCGACCAGCCTGGTTCAGACGGCAAAGAGTGCATTCCACCCTCGACACTCTCGATTAGCCACACGCCCCTAAGTTACAAGGAAAAAACCCCGGCATCAGCTACGTCGGACAAACTGGTTATGCCTTCCTCCCTCGACATATCTCCACAGACCTCTTGCTCCCCCAGGTTACAGAGCAAAAGTTCCAGCACCGGTCTGCGTCGTCCCAACTTTGTCCTTCTGACCTACTTACTTAGACAGACATCTTTTCCCATGTTGAACCCCCCTTGCTTCCTCCCATCTTTCAGTTTTCACCTTCTCCTTCCCCCCGTGACATTCTATCCACAATCTCCCTGATCATAGGCAGATCTCTGCATAGACGCTCTGTAAGATATTTCAGAATTCTAAGACCCCCCTAAACTAAGAACATCAACCCTTTTTTTTTTTTTTGAGAACTATAGAGAAGATTCTAGAAAATTTAGGAAAAACATGGATAACTGCTAACCTATTGCTAGGCTTACTTGGAAAAATATGAGAGCGGGGGGTCAAAACTGAAATTGCCTACTGTCCAACACCCCCCCCCCTCAACAGACACGACTAAGAGCAAACAACTCTTTTTTTTTTTTTTTTTTTTTTTTTTTTTTTTTTTAAAMAAAAACCAGCGTCCACTACTAGAGGGGGTGGTAAGAGCGGCCTCCTCTAGTAGCTATCCCTGGTTGCTCCGTCTATTGGTGGGGAGCTTCACCTGCTGGAAACTGGGTCCAGCGTCCCTTACATCTCAGAGACTTTTACAATCTTCAGTAAAAAATATCAAGAATATCGAGAATGTCCCGCCAGCATTGATTGCCCCAAGTTTACCCTGAGGGATTGACTGAGCGGGGAAAGAAACTATGACAACAGAGATGCCTCTTCACCCTGTTAGACAGGGCGCCTCATCGAGCTTGATGTATCTAGCATCCTCCGTCTCGTCTTGGCCAGGCTTCCGAGTTTCCTGTGAACTTCATGCGTTCCCCTCTCCCTGTAAACTTCACCCGTGCCCATCTCCCCCGGGAGGCACCGGGGGTAGACGGCTTGTGTCGTTGCAGCAGCGGCTGTAGTCACTCGAGAATTTTCACTAGGGAAAGGGGGTGGGGTGGGAAGGGGTCAGGGAAGTCTGATGGGGGTCTCATTGGAAAGGAGGGTTCAACCGTAGTCCAGTCCTTGAAGACTAACTGGTAGTCCCTGGGTGGGCGTTGTCTCGCTGGGTCAGTCTGGTCGCCTCGCCATTCAACCCGAGCCATCCATCCCTCCCGTAGACCCCCTACCCAATTCATACAAAAGGTTGTTAATGCTTGGTTAATGTCCTGTTCAGACTGAAGAGTGTCCAGTCTTAGTTTGAGATTTTGCCATCGATGCATCAGTTCCAACTGGACTTGTTCTTTGATTTGTTCTGTTAGCTCCGGCCCCTCTGTCCTCACCCCTTCCAATGCCAACAGGCAGCGTTGCCACCAGAGGGCCCAAAGAACTGACCGCCTTCCTAGACTGTATAGATTGTCTGTAAAGATAGAGGAGGCCGCCATTGCTGGGCAATGTCCTGTTAATATGGCCTGCCAGGACCATGGCCATTGAACATTTGGTACTGTTTTTCGCCATATGCGATCCCACCATCTCCACGTAAGCAGTGTCGTCGGGCATTGCATAAAAATGTGTTCTATGGTCTCCTCTCGCTTTTGTGCTGGAAAAGCGGTCATGCACCTTTGACACCACGGGAGTGCCTTCCCTTTTTGTTCAAGGCGAGTGTGATGAATCAGCCAGGCGTTTGTTGGTAGGCAGCGATGTGCGATTTGCCATTGCAGGGATGTAATCTTGGCCGGTTTGGCTTTTCCCCCTTGAAACCATCTAATAGGCGCGAGGAGAGCCCGATCCACATTTAGGTGCCTAGCCCACCTATCGATCACCCGGTCGCGCTGGGGCCTTTTAGGCCGAAGCATCCTGTATGTAGTATTGACCGACAGTTTATGGAGGGGGACCATTGTTCGAGGTGTTACAGTTGGGCCTCTGGCTGTCTGCCATTGCCATTCACCTGGGTCAAGTGGCAGCTCTTTAATAGGCATCCGAGGCAAGAAGGTGATGGCCTCATTCCCTTCTTCTAGCACCCTTATTCTGAACAACTCCGATTTCTCTCTCCATTCCAAAGGGCCTCGGGATCCTTGTAATGTGCCTCTTGTACCCTTCTTATAGAATTCCAGCAGTACGTCCGAGGGTCGCGACATGTGGATCCTACCTATTCTGTTCGGGTCCCCAGATATGGCAACCCAATCTCCTTCCTGTAGTGTGGGCCCTCGCTTCAACAGTTGATACCATGCCAACGGGATTGCCTCAATGACCATTTCCAGATGCCTTTCTGCATGGTGGCAGTATCGAAGGATAGTCTGAAGTTGGGATGCTGTTTTCCAGTCCCTCCTGTCGCTATCCCATAGGTGGCCCACCCGGAGTACTCCATGCTTGACCCATCGCTTCCATGGAGGTGCCGAGCTGCACAAAATCTGGCCGTGACAGGGTGCGAGCCTTCGATTTCCGAAGAGGGGCTGACGGTAGACCTCCTCCCACCGATCCGGAGCTGGCGCCTCGGGGGGGGGGAGGCGGCGCCAACTCTTTATCAATGTGGGCCAAAATTTTTCCACTGGCCCACCTTGATTTTTCCGGGGGATCAACCAGTAACGGTCTTCTAACCATGTCGAGGGGTGTACCTCTGCCGAGGTCGCTGGGGCCAGGCGGGCGATGTGCTCTAAGGCCAAGGCCTGCCACGGACAGTCCAATGCGAAATAAGTTTTTGCAGCCACTTCAGGCGGAGGGCTTGGGTCTGTGTAGGCGGGTCTATGATTCCTAAACCTCCCCCTTTTTTTGGTTGTATGACCGTTTCCCACGCCACCCGGCTGATCACGTTTGCCCTTTCATCATCTCCTCGCCATAGAAAAGCAGCAATTTTAGCTTTGAGGGCCTGGTAAGCGGCTCGACTTAATGGCCATAAGAGTGACTTGTACCACAGAGTGGCAAACACCACATTATTGATGGCCAATGCCCGACCAAAGACTGAGGTATGCTTGTTGCGCCATTTAGCCAATTTGGCAAGCGCTGGTGCACTGATCCATTCGTCGTTAGTCGGGGGGCACCCCAGGGCCGTCATAGTAACCCCCAAGACCCGGACTGGTGCTTCCAAGGGGAGCCACGATATTCAGGGGGAGTCTGGCGGGCGTCCTCCTTGATGGTGTATCCACCATCCCTGGGTTTTGCTCCCCCAGTTTACTACCATGTCCGAAACCTGCGCAAACCTCTCCATTAGCTTTGCAATTTCTTACATGTTTTTGTGTGTGGCATCGAGCATGATGGTAAGGTCGTCCGCGAAGAGGGAGCACACAGGGATGGCTTCATCCGGGATTCGAGCGATCTTGATTCTGGCGATGTCCTTGTTGGTTCAGAGGTTCGCCGACAGTGCTTCCATAATCACCAGAAACAGAAAGGGGGCAATTGGATCACCTTGCCGAACCGACCTCTCGAGACGAATCGGGGGTGCCAGAGAGCCGTTTACTTGCACCCTGGTGGTTGCATTATGGTGGAGGATGTGCACCCATCTTCGAAAGCACAGTCCAAAATTCATTTTCTCCAAACATTTGTCTAGAAAAAGTCAGTCCACATGGTCGTAGGCTTTTTCAAAGTCAATGAAGATCAATGCTGCGTTTTGCTTGGACTGTCGGGTTAACTGTATCACTTCGTGGACCAGGAGAATATTCTCCTGGATTTGCCTTTGCTGCATGAATCCAGTCTGGGACGGGTGAATCAGGTCCTCCAAGACCGAAATCATTCTATTCGCCAGGGCTTTAGCTAGCATCTTGTATGTGACCGTGAGAAGGGTGATAGGCCTGTAGTTCCGAATGTTAAAACTATCCCCCTTTTTGTATAACAAGGTTAGTATCCCCTGGCTCACCTGCTCCCCCATACTCCCTGTATTCCAGACCTCGTTGTAGTATTCCATAAGGTCCGCGCTCATGCCGTCCCTCATAGTCTCCCAGAATTCCTTAGGGAGTCCATCTAAGCCGGGGTTTTTCTCCTCATCCATTTGTAAAAGGGCCGCCCATATCTCATTTTTAGTTAGGGGAGCCTCCAGGCGATCTCGTTGTTCCGGTGATAGAGATCTACCCATGGGTTGAGGAATTCCTCAATTCGTTGTAGCCGGTTGTCCTCGCTGTTTGGTGGAATATGGGATGAGAACAGGTCTTTGAAAAAATCGCGGGCTATTTTGACACAGCCTGCTGTTGTAGTTGTGGGGTGTACTGCTGTTCCCTCTGGGTCGTACAGGGCCTCCACTACAGATCGCTTGGTTTTTGCGTGCGCGAGGCCGAAATTTTTTTTGTCCATTGTTCCTTCAG